TCCGTGTAGAGACAGCAAGCCAGAAGGAAGGGCTGGGTGGTGGGTGGCAAGGGCACAGGTCCTTCCCCCTAACAGCATCTCCTGTCCCCAGCATCCACACCCTGGCCCCCATGTGCCTCTTACTCACATCTTCCCCAGGGTCTCCTGGCTCCCCATATCTTCCTGGCTCTCCCTGGCAGGGGAAAACAAGCAAAAAGCAGAGTTGGGAGATGATATGCAGAGGGAGCCACTGCAGCCGGAATCAACCCACCATGGGCAGGAAGCTGAGGAGACCAGGGGCCCCATGGCCCCCTCCCACCAGCCCCTTCAGGGCAGCACCCACCTTCTCGCCCTTAGGGCCAGGCAAGCCTCTGTCACCCTTGGAGCCCTACCAGGGGGAGAGCAGCATTAGGGGAGGGGGGCGGCCACAGGGCTGGCTTGTCCCCCAGAAGGCACAGAGGGGAAACAGGAGATGAGGTTAATCGGGGGGACAAGGTTAATAGGGGGAGACAAGGTTAATGAGACCAACTCACGGGTTCTCCCAGCAGCACACCCTCTGGCAGCGCTGGCTCACCCTGCAGCAACACACGGGTGCTCAGATGTACCCACAGCAGACCTCTGCCCGCCCTGGGGGCTTTGACAGCAGCCAGGGGTGGAGGCACCCCCACCTAACATCATGTCTCCTTACCTTCTCGCCTTTCACACCAGGAGGACCAGTGATGGCCTAGAACACAGAGGAAAGAGAGGTGGGTGAGCTGGGCTGCACAGGCTGCTACCCCTCATCCCAGTCTGGGAATGCCAGGGAAGCTCCTGGGAGGTCACTCACCTGCCCTGGGGGTCCAGCATCCCCTGGCTGTCCCTTGGGTCCAGCAGGTCCTGAAGGTCCCGGCAAACCCTGGCACAAGCAGCACAGCCCTCAGCCTCAGCTGCAGACACCCCAGGCTGAGCCCCACGGGGCTCCCACTGGGACAGGTCTGGGGGAGCAGCAACGTACCATCTTCCCAGGCATCCCTGCCTCGCCGTCCTTCCCTGGCACACCGTCCCTGCCCGGCACACCCGGCTTCCCACTCTCCCCCTGCAGGCAGTAAGAGGGGGGCTGGGGCACAGGGGGCTCCCACAGCCCCCCCAGGCAGCCCTCAGCACCCACACCAATAGCAGCCAGGTCAGGGGGGGGTGACACACTCACCACTTGTCCTGGTAGCCCAGGGACACCTGGTGGGCCCTGCAAAGGAGACACAAGCAGAAATCAGGTGGCAGCCTGGGCACGAGGAACAGCCAGAAAGCAGGTTGTGGGGTGTAGATACTTACCCCCGGGCCAGGGGGGCCAGGGGGTCCAGGCAGCCCTATACCACCCTGGGGACCAGGTAAGCCCTGCAATGGAAACAGCCAAGTCTGAGAGGGGACCCTGCACTGCCCTGGCACAGCTGGGACCTCAGCTGCCCCCAGGATGGTGCTGGCAGTGGGGTCAGCTGGCTTTTGGGGGACTGGGTGGTTTGGGGGGGCCAGGTAGGTGCTTACCCGGATGCCAGAGCCAGGTTCCCCCGGATCACCCTGCAAAGAGAGCACCTGTGTCAGTCCCAGTGCCCTGACCCAACAGCCACCACAGTCACAGCTATGTCCCCATGCCTGCCACAGGACTGGTCCCCACGGCAGGCCGGCTCCGGGCCCCGGCCCCCTCCCCCACCCGCCCCCACAGTCACAGCTATGCCCCCATGCCTGCCACAGGACTGGTCCCCACGGCAGGCTGGATCTGGGAGCAAAGCCAACCCTAAACTTCCCCTCCCTCCAGCCCAAAACGTCCTGAAACGTGGCCATCCAGCCAGCCCCCAACTCTGGCGAGGCACCACTTTCCTCTGCCAGGTGGGACATGGTGATGACAGTGACATACCTTGGTTCCAGCTGGGCCCTGGGCCCCCGGTGGGCCAGTGCTGCCCTGCAGGGAAGAAGGGGCATTATGTTGGGGTGATGCTTGCTGGTGGCACAGGACAGAGAGGGGACAGTGGGGTAGCATGGTCCCAGAACTGCCAGCCAACCCTTGTTCCCTGGGGAGATGCCCACTCCAGCTGACACCCCCTTTGCATGTGGTGCAGGGTGGCTCCTTACCGGAGGTCCTGGGGGTCCCGGGTCTCCCTGGTTGCCCTGAAGGGAGGAAGAGATGAGGTCACTGCAGGGATGGGTTTACCCTGGTGGGTGCATGGGGTGACTCCTGGGAGAGGAGACCCAGATAGTGCCAGTGGCTCAGGTAAGCACCAACATAGAGTGAGGACAAGTCTGGCCAGCTCCTGGAAAGACACTTGGGGCCAAGCACCCACCCAGGCAGTAGGATGGCCCCCACAACTTCACCCAGTGCCTGCGGCCAGGAGCCTCCAATTGTGTGCTGAGGGGAGGGGGTCCAGTGACATGGGGGGTGCACAGTGACATGGGGGAACATAGTGACACAGGGGACACACAGACACCTACCGGGCGTCCCAGCACGCCGGGGAAGCCTGGCAAGCCCTGCAAAGAACCACGTCAGAGATGGCAGGTGAGCAGGAGCCTGCCACCTCCAAGCAGCCCTGCCTGCCCTCCAGGGATGCTCCCTGTTCCCAGGGTGTGACCCATCCATCCACAGGGGGTGACCAGGAGGCCCCCTGAAACCCTGTGGGTCTTGAGTAGAGGGGAAGGTGGATGAGACATGAAGGTTCCCACTGGTGCTGGTGGTGGCTGGTGTGGGACCATAAGATCTTACCCCATCCCAGCCCACATCCCCATACCATGTCCCCACTCACCGGCTTTCCCTCAGGGCCAGCCAGCCCTCGCTCACCCGGGAGGCCCTGCAGCAAGAGATGGGGACAGGGATGGGGTCAGTGCCAGATCTGGGGTGAGCACCAGGTGGGGACAGTGTGGGTACTCACCGGGGCGCCGTCCCTGCCCTTCTCGCCGGGCTCCCCTCTCTCGCCCCGCGGGCCACCCTCACCCTGCAGCAGGGACAGGCACAGGGTCACAGGACAGGCAGGGACCTTCTCCTTCCCCCCCAGAGACTGCTGACACCCAAAGAGGGGTGTCCCCAGCAGTGTCCCTGCCCAGGGCTTTGCTCCATGAGGCTGCCCTACTGGCAGCAGGAGACTTATGACTGCAGACCTTATCTCCTTTGGGTCCCCGCTCGCCCTCAGCTCCTGGATCACCCTGTGTCAGGGAGAAGACAGATGCCATCAGTCCTCACTGCCCTCTGGGGACTCCCACCCTGCCACTGTCCCAGTTCATCACACTGTCCCCAGCTCAGTTGCCTTGGCTGCCCTGCCCCTTTCTGCCCAGCCACACACCTTTGCTCCCTTGGGTCCAGTGGGGCCACGCTCACCTGGCAAGCCCATCAGGCTGCCCTCCACCACATCTGCCTGCGGGCAAGGAGCAGTCAGGGCCAGCACCCAGGGGACCTCAGGATGGTCCCCTAGGAGCACAGCCATCCCCAAGTCCCCATGCAGGGGGACAGGACATGGCCATCCATCTCTGCAGGTGCAGGCTGGCACCCCTTGGAGACAGTCTCCAGCAGCAGCCGTCACCTACCTTGGGCCCCGGGGGGCCGGGCAAGCCATCCCTTCCCTGGGGGGAGAAAAATAAATCAGGCATGAAATGGATCTCAGGACACCAAGGAGCAGAGCCACCCTTGGCACAGCCAGTCCTGGCCCCCTTAAGACATCCCCCTGCCCCATGGACAGCCACTTGTCCCCCTTAAAAGTGCACAGCATAGGAGAGACATCCCTGGAGGTGTTCAAGGCCAGGTTGGATGGAGCTTTGAGCAACCTGGTCTACTGGAAGGTGTCCTGGCCCACACAGAGGAGTTGGAACTAGATGATTTTTAAGGTGCCTTCCAACCCAAACCATTCTGTGCTTTTATGGTCTTATGATAGAGAAAACCCCAGCTCACCTGCTCGCCCTTGTCACCTTTCTCACCCCGATCACCCTGGGGAAAAAACACAGTGGCTGTCACAGGGCTGTCCCCAGCCCTGGACCAGGTCCCCCACCCCTCACCCCCACACACACTCACCTTGTCTCCGGGCCGTCCAGCCTCCCCCAGCTCCCCAGCCCGGCCCGGCACC